CGCACCACGCAAAGAACTTTCCGTGGGGCAATCTGAAAGTCGTATATCGTCGGTGCGTGCTCGCGCGCGCGCATTATGTACTCAGTCAGTCCGATTATCAAGTGTGTTGTTATTTATTGTTATCGATCAACAGAGTGAGAGCAATCCGTTTGCAAGCAACTCTGTATGTCTGTGTATACACGTTGAGCGGTACTGTTCTTTACACTAGCTGGCTAATAATTATCCCGCCAAATCGATAGGCATACACCTGTGAACTACGACTCTGCCAATCAGTCTTTTCCATACTTTGTCAGTTATTCATAATATTAAATCTCCAGAGAATAAAGTATTGAACAACTTACTAACTTTGCTGAAAGCAATAATTGTAAAGTATAAGCACATGCATAGAATTGGAATAGTTGGTACTTGCGAGTCTCAATCCTAGCGAGAGAAAAAGAGTCGGGTCATTCTTGAGCAAGAGAGAGCTACGCAAAAAACTACTAAGGGTGAATAAAAAACGTGAGAGAGCGTGCAAGTAGCGAGCCGCTCTCGAGAAGCACGAGCGGGCTTGAAGTGGTCCTAGTCAGTTTGAAGGGAGACCCAACTGAGTGACGATTGATCCGCACGTCCCTTACAATCATTTGTATTTTTACCGATCGTGTACAAATTTTACTAAAATATCTATCAATAATTTGAATAACTTATATTTATCAAAGTTTATTTGGTTGACCGTTTATTTCATCACTTTTTTTATAAAATATGAATATTTTTTATGACAAGAAAGCTGTGTCACAATTGATAGACAATGTATATTGCATATAAATATTATCTCTTTTCATATTTTGTAATTACAAATAAAAATGTATCTAACTTGATTCAAATTTACAATTCATTTTGAAACATATTTTAACGACATGTCTGTACATGTAGTCTGATTAAAATCGATTATTTTGCAAACAGTAAAATGGTACAATTTATTCACTTGATATATCCTAATTAAATTTCGTATTTCCGTGTGAGTGTGAAATTGAATCGCTTCTGTGCTCGTAATTAATTTAAGCGATGAAAGCCGTTGACATTCATGTAATTCTGTGGTCTCAATTTAAATATTTACAATGTTAATGCCACGAAGTCTAGATTAGCTAAAAAGCTTTATATAAAAAAGCGGCTGTAATGCGAGTTAAAATGGTAAAAGCTGAAACTAAAATTTGAAATACCGACGAAATTGGACGTGCTAAACTTTTGTCGAGAGTCTGATATTGTTGCTACAGGCCATCAGAATGTTTCAATGAACTGTTTTTGAATATGCTCAAAGTTTTATTTCGTGAACTCTCAATCAAGCCGTTCGCATTATAGCGCAGGAAAAGTTTGGATATTACTTGTGCAAGTCAATTTGAGAAGTAAAGTGAGAAATTAAAAAAGTCTTTATAAGCGCAGGCGAAACTATTTAAATTTATTTGACCTAATTATAAGTTCTGCAGGAATTGGCAAAAGTTTTGTAGCTGTGGAATTGCCTCTCGGTTGACTTAGCCGAAGCGCGAGCGACGATTTTTCGTAGAGCTTGTGTAGCGGCGCGATGAGTGCAATCACCAAGTCGAGGCGAAATTAAAGCTAGTCGCGCGCTTGCAGAAACGAAGATCTTCGATGGAACGACGAGATACACCCGTCGCCAGTAATTACGAGTTAACGCAAGTTTCTGCCGAGTCCCCGTCGCCGATTTCAATTCGAACTTCCAGCGTGAATCTTGCATGCGCTATACACGTGTATGGGTATAGGGTATATGCATGCAGAATAGCGACTCCAATAGAGACATGCCACCGAGATAGCCTCACTCCGATATCTGGACTCGCTCTCTGTCGGCCGCTACAGCTACTCCATGCCAATTAGCTCAATTCAATATAATTAAGTATATTCTATCCAGCTGGCTAATCGCTCGTCTGGTCGCCCATTCGTGATCCCTTTCTTTCTTTGAGTTTGCTCTTTCCGCACCGCTCTGCTCTCTCCTTTAATGTTCTGTCACGATTTTGTATGCTTGGAATGCTTTGACCCCTACTATATCTTCGCACATGACTCGGAGATCCTCGCTCATCATCCCTGTTTCATTAATTTATCTATATATATCGATACGACATATCAGTCTTATGCTTGTACTGTCGAAATCATTCCACCTCCTTGGAGAGGAAGCTTTGTTTGTGCTTTTTGTTTTTGAACAATTTTCAATTTGTCCTAACAATGTTTCTTTGTTTTTGCCACTTTATGCTTCAAGTTTGCTGTTTTGCACGATGTCAACTTCCTGCATATAATCAGCAACAACTGTTGCTTCAATTAAACAAAAATAAAATTAATTTTTAACTTTCTAAATATTTTATATTCTTGGAGAAAGCACACTGATAATCTATTTAGGTAATCAGAGGTTATTTTTGTTTTCGTCGAAACTTGTTTATTTTTTGATGATTATATACTTAAATTTTGTCTGTTACTATTGGTACATGAATAAACAAAAACTCTTTCATTTTCATCCGTCAGAGCAGTTGACAACGTTTCAACTGTTAATTTCAATAAAAAAAAATAAAACTGAACACGAAGCTTCGTCATTCTAAAATTACCATCTTTAGAATTACCTTAGTTACCAATCTTTTTACACCGATACTTTTTCTATTAATTGTTACTTTTTCAGAAAAAATGTCACACAAATATTTGAAAATATTTGCAGACTACTTTGCTAGTAACTTTAGTATCATACTTCTAATCGCGTCATAAAACCCGAGAAAGAGACAAATGCTTCATTTGTTCAGTCTGGTTGTGCGTGTATATAATGACTGAGGGAGCGTTCGAGAAATAGTACAAAAAGTGCAAATAATGAGTGGCACGTTCCACGGCTGCCATTAGAGCCGTGTATCTCTTGAAATACATGTGAACGCCATAAGAAGTCACTTTAGTCATGTGCTATGAAAAGACAATAAGAAGAAACAGCGTAGAAAGAAAGAAATTTATGGATTTAATAATTTCTTGGAATTGGCTGGAATGAGAAAAGTATTTTACATTACTGTGCTATTCAGTCATGTAAACTTTTCCATCTTTTCAATGACAATTAATTATACTTAAAATTTTTCAATGGTTTTTAAAAACATTTGATGACTATGAAGATTTGCTTAAAAAGCATAATTTTAATTAGTATTCGTTTACATACCATTTGACTTATGTTTATTTAGATATAATTTATTAACTTATGCAAATTTTAGTTTACTTTCAAACAGATACACATGAACAATAAATTATTTTACTAATTAAACAACAAAATGTTATCGGATAACGCATGTCTATATAATCGAGCTTTCGTAAATAACTGAGTTCAAATTACTGAATCCAGCGAAACCAAATGCGAGGTATCAGAAAATCTATTGGCGAAATGTAATCGTCAGCAATCCTAAATTGAATATCAGTGCTAATTTTTAAATAATCAAACGTAATTCACGATCGTGCTTGCACCCGCTCACACAGTGAAAAAAAGAATAGAACGACCTCGTGCAATCGTATTAAACAATCGTTCTTATCACAGTGATCTCGTTTCAATTAACGATTTAGCCCGAGAGAGCGAGAGAAAGAGAGAGAGAGAGAGAAAGCTATCAGATCGTCGAACGGAACTTCATTTCTCGCGCGGGCTGCAGCTTTAGCCGAGTATGCGTCTGCACGGGGCGTGGGTCTGATAATACGTGACTCGAGCAGCTGCTGATCCATAGAAAACTTAGGAAATGATTTTCGGGATAATAGCCTTTTTCATTTAAAGAATCTTATTGAAATTTGGCATTTTTATTGTTAAAAGATATTTTTTAAAACTGACTTATTCAATAAATTAATATTTATTATGAAAACTCATTAAATTTTGGAATTCAATATAACAAACCAATACTAAAATAAACCATAAATTCTAGTATTATTGACAAAAAGCTCTTTATTTCGTGATTGTATTGAATATTGCATAACTACAATGTGGTATAAGATATTTATTGAAATGTCGTCAAATATTTAAAATTTTTCACATAAATAAAATATTTAGAATACTTAAAATAGTACTCAAAAATGACAGATTAAAATCCACTTGACACAGAACAGACGTTCACCTTGGAGTCTCTATTCTACTACTACGAAGAATTGTCCAATATATACTTGATGATATAGACTTTACTACAACTTATAATTGTGACTCAATGTGACTCAAAGACAACATCAATCCATGTTTCCTCATTATAAAGAAATGCGTGTTATAGGTCTTACTTGTTCAGCAAGACTGATCAATGTGGAAAAGAGGATATACGTAAAAATATAATAGAAAAGCAACGTTTTACTAGAGCTAAACAAATTCTTATTAGATACTGATAAAGGAAAAGATTGTATAAGTTTACATATAACTATATATATTATTATTGCTATTGTAACTTAAAGATTTACGTCCACGTGGAATGCTGCAGAGATACACTAAGTACTCGTACGCATTAGTCTTGGTTCCCTATAGTTATAAGTAAGAAGATCCACCTTACCCACCATTTTTTTAAATAGTACAGGAGGAGAAAGTTTTACACACATCATGACTGGACCTACAGTTTCATCCGAACTACCGGAATCACGGTAACAATTATATGAAAATTTAATTTCTGAAAATCCTCACATGCATAGGGTTCGAACCCACGATCTCTTGCACAGAAGTTTGAGCTTTGACCGTGACTAATATAAACAGAAACATCTTTATTTTTTTTTATTTTTTAGTTTTAGTTTAGTATTAGTTTCCTTTGCTGTATCCATTTTATCGAACAGTAATTATTTCCTTTGCTGGATTACGATATTATTGTAATGTAATACATTATATATTTTTACTTTTAAATAACTAATGTATAATTTCTCTGTAATGAATAAATGAAAATGAATTTATTTTACTGTTTTATCACAAAATACTATCCATGGATATAAATATTTTATTTAGTAGCAGAGATTTTTTTGACATTTTATCAAAAACAGTTGGTCTATTATTGATAGTTTGTAATTCGAAGCACCCATGCCGGTTGTCCCTTATTTGCTTTTGAAGATAAGTATACTTCAAGATACTCATCCAATTGCTTCAACTAATAAATTAAAGAACATGTTTTAAATATTTATATTAATCAAATGATATTCAAAAAAAGTTATTATCTTTACTTACTGCAATTTCTTGAGAGCTTCCAAGTAATGTCACTTTTGTATCAGACTTGACCTTAACTGATCCTAATATTACTGTATCATTTTCTGGCCAAGATAGTAAAGAGGCATACAGATCACCATTTACTCCGACAGTATACCAAACATCTTCCGTCAAAGTATCATTCTGGACTTTCCAAGGTTTACTTTTATATATGGCTTCTCCATTGACATCCAACCATTTTCCTTTGATTCAAAATTAACATCAGTTTATCATCCACATTTTAAATATAAAAATCATTAATTTGAACCTAAATACCGATTCCTCTTAGACGTTCCTCATATACAGGCGTTATTATGCCATCTTTTGTGGGCCCAACATTCATCAGTAAATTTCCGCCACAGCTTACAGTGGTGACTAGTTCTTTTACTAAAGTTTCCAAACTCAAGTAATCTTCCAATACAGCATTTCTACGGTAGCCCCATGATTTACGGTCGATTGTCATGCAATTTTCCCATTTATGATTTTGTAAAATACCTTATAAAAAGTTTTTTATATATTAATATGAAAGCGATTAAATATGAAGTTAATCGTGATGAGCATATAGCGTATAAATTAACATTGGTTGTCTGATTTTGAACAATTAATCCAATATGTATAACTTTTAGCTCTTTTTACATATAAAAGTTTTATATATTTACCAGGATTATATCGATCAGCGCAAGAATAAAAATCTCCATGTTTGCAAGCTGTACCCGATCCCCATCGGTCATTAGTTACTACAGTTTTGTTAACAGGACTGTCATTATATAACCAACTTAAGAACTCTTTGGACTGCCAATATACGTCAGATGCTGGGTCACCATCAGACCATACAATTTCTGGTTTGTAAATTTCAACTAGCTCTCTCAATTCTGGCATGGCTTTAGTTGTTACAAATATATTAGTTTTGAAATTGTTCTTCTGGTCATAGTTCCACAAAGGATTATACCATTCGAATAGTGAGTGGTATAAACCAAACTTGAGATCGGTATTTTCTCTGATAGCTGATGCAAGTTCACCTGAACAAAATTAGATAGTTCGATTCTAAATATTCAGTTTCAGATTAATTTAATGATGCAATTTAGTCTTATTGTATTTACCAACTAAATCTTTGTGAGGTCCAACGTCTTTCGCATTCCAACCAAAAGAATATTTTGATGGCCAAAGCGTATAACCTTCGTGATGTTTACTAGTGAGTACGACGTATTTAGCACCTGATGCTTGGAATAGTGCACTCCACTGCGAAGCATTATAAAATTCTGCAGTAAAATCTCTAGCAAAGTCTTGATATGTGAAACCAGGCTTGTAATTCTTCCTCATGAATTCGAGATAATCAGGTTTCAAACCTGAAATACCAATAATAAATGAATGTTTCATTAAGAAAATATATAGTTTTATTAGATATCACATTATGGCTTCATTACTTTCCAAGTAGTTCCAAAACCATTCTGATCCATAACTTGGAACACTGAAAACGCCCCAGTGGATGAAAATGCCAAACTTAGCTTCATCATACCATTGTGGAAGAGGTCGACTGTCCAAACTTTTCCAATCAGGCAAATACTTTGTATCTGCTGCACTATATATTACGAAATAGCACAGTAGAGAAAATACTGTTAATATTAACATTTTTATTATTAAAAAAAGTAAGTCTGATCGACTGAACTTCAATTGAACGCTTGTTAAGCTTGTTTTTTTCAAATAACTTGCTCAACTAATCTTATCATTAACACATTCAGACACTGGAACATTTGGAGACCAGTAAATGATAATCATTTACAAATATATATCTGCAGTGAAAATAATTATTTATCTAATCGAAAAGGCAAAGAGACAATACGTCTAGATAGCAAAACAGAAGGAATGTTATGCCTTGAAGATTAAAAATTCACGGATTGTTTGAACTGATATTTGAACAGCGTATCTTTTTGTGGGAAAAAACAAGACATTTGCACGTTGAATCCACAAAGTTAATGCCTGAGAATTGCAGCTGACAAGTATTCTGCGGCTATAGCCAAGTGATTAGGCAATGCGCTGAATGGTGCACTGTTACGCGGAAGTGTTGAGCACGCTCGGCGTGTCTCTCGGCTGCAGCCTCTGAAAAGAAAGTACGAGAAGAACAACAGATCGCTTGTCCGAAGACCGATGACACTAATGCGGGCTAACGACTAAGCAAAAACGAGAGAGGAATTTTTCCTTTCCCGCGCGCATGCAGAGCAAAAGAGCAATGCAATGAAAGTAAAGCAAGCGCGCCAGCAGGACACTCCTATCAGAGCCGAATTTTTCGTTGAGACTGCCTGCTACTAGAAAGTCTTTGCGAATAATGAGCTCGCTTCAACGATTTCATAATTCGTGAATCTGCGTGCCGAGTGCTTCGCATGACTGCCGCGCGTACACCGCCACTGACAACTCGAATTTGTAACGTTAGTTAGTAAGGACTTTCCTTCATGAATATTGTGATATGCTCTCTAGTCAGGAATCCGCGCACAGTAGCGTTTTTTTTTTCGGGAGCCTTGATTTATGTTCAGCTAATAGCTTTCAACGCTAAACAGTTAACCTACTGTCAGCGATCTAATGAATAAATATCAATATCAACTTTCTCTTGTTTTCAAATAATGAATAACAATTCATAAATGGGTTTTCGGTCGCAAGAGAGTTTTATTTAATTCGTATAAATGTGTTATTTATCTTGCTGATTAATGATACCTCTTTAAAATAGATATGCATCTGTTATTTAAATCTGATACCTTGTATCTGTTTGAAAGCGATAACGAAATATCTACATGTATAGTCATAGAAATGATTTACAACAATGTATAATTTTTATAGTTTTATTGTGCAGCTCTATACTATTCATATAAAAACATCAAAACTAATGTATTGGAGTTATAAAAGAGAAAATTTAAAATAAGGTTTTTCGATGTATATAGAAGTTCGAACATATAGCAATAACTTTAAATAATTAACTTAAAAGCTCTGCATTGTGAGCAATAGCCGCAGGTTGAAGCGACCGTACGTACAATAAAAAAGTTGGCCTCCAGTGGCCAGCGGACTGTTCTAATAAAGATACGGAAGCACTTGATACGCCTTCCATTTATTTTTCTTCATCTACTTTTTCTCATGCTTCGATGTTTGTTTTTTTTCTCGAGGCTAGGAGTAAGAGCTGGTCGCTTGGATGCTGGCCAAATCGCTAAATCAGCTGGCATTTCGTGCGAAAGCTAGCTTGAATTTTGCAATGATCACGTGTGCATGCTCTTCCTCTTTATCGCATCACAAACGAGTTTGAGTATTTTTTTACTCTTTAGCTGCAGCTTGTATGAAGATCGCGAAGTAACCGCAGTGATACTAGTAAATAGGAATTTTTTCAAGCTTTCAAAACTAGAGCTTCGGGTTTCCTTATCCAATACGAATTCCTTTATCCTATACCTTTTCGCAATTAATACGACTTGCAGTTTTTCATTTTATTTGAGAGTAAGCCACAAAAACGTATTCTTCAATCAACATTGAGTAAAAATCTTTAGTAAAATCTTTAGTATCTATTGAAATTCAATACATTCTCAATCAATTATTAATGAATTATTTAACTTGTTAACCGGGGAAATCCCTTTCTAATTACGCAACATATAACGGGCGCGTCCTTTTCCACTAAGATGTGTATGAATGACGTATTACCATAGTAGTAGTAAAATATACGTCCCGCCCGTTCCAGGGCGCAATATAAATATCGAGGACGTATTCATATGTCCTACCCGTACCCGATATTGTTTACTTTGGACGTATTTATACGTCTCGCTCGGTTAACAGGTTAATCACATTTGAGGTGATATATAGAGTCTCTTTATGTCGATTTTTATAACGCAAATTGATTTAACATGGAGCAAAAATAACATATCAGCTCCTTTCTGTTATCATAATAATTGTTTTATAAGTCACTAAAAATTATTTTTAACTCACAAGAGTAAAATCAATATTGAACTTTAATTCCCGTCACACAAGATTGACTTACTTTTGGCAGACCCATTAGTGACTACATCACTCTTGAATTCTGCCGACAGAGTAGTCTTGAAATTAGTGTTATCACTGAGTTATACGCTATGATTCGTCAAAAAGTATTCGAAGAACAAATCTTCATCGCTAGACTAAAGAGATGTATTTTTTCGTTTTTTGTTAATGAATTTTACATAATTTATTCATTACACCACTGATATGAATATTTATTAATTTATGTAAAGAAATATTTAAAAAATGCAAGACTTACAACCAGTCGGTAAGCTTATTTACTGCTTATTTAGAATATAAATTTATAAAAGGCACACCACAGATCGAATGTAAAATAAGTTATAAATGCTAAATAAATGAAGGGATTAAAAGCAGTTCGAAACTGTATTTTACTGAGAAAAGAATGAATAAAAGTAAAGTCTGACTGGGCTGAGATACAGATTTGATTTTTGAACAAATGCATAGTTACGGTTTAACCATATACATGTAGATTTGATGGACATCGATTTTTCGAAGTAATAATTCTGACGATTGAATTATTACTTTCAAATATTTTACCGTTGCACACTTTGTCGTTGAGAAATACGGTGGTACCGAAGAATGTTTAAGCTGTAGACTAATGAAACGGTAAATTGCGGACTTGTCTGATTATCTGGTCTAGCATTTTGATGAATTTTCAAAAAAGTTGATTGAGAGCGAAATAATATGGTGGTGGAAGAATCCGGTTCTAGATGCCAGTGGCCTGAGACAAGATCGGTCTAATTATTTGAGGGGAAACCGATGATTGAGTCACCGTTGCCACGCATGGTCGTTACCTTTTCCGCGCCTCGTCGATGTCAAGTCAACGCTCTGCGTACACCTGTATGTGCAAGCAGCAGGCCGCACTTAGCGCAACGAGCGTACACGGTAATACTGGTTAGGCGGTACTTATACGGCAAAACGCTTGCGAATTAACGACGGAGTGTGCTAGACAAAAACAGTTTAATGAACAGATGCGAGAGCAGTAAAGGGAGAAAGTTGTCCAATCATTTTCAATATGCACTCTCGTATGGAACATCGATTGCTTGCCCTTTTTTACACTAGTTTTCAACGGTTTCGAAAAGAAAGCGCAAGTAACTTGGACAGATGAAGGGGTAATAGTATTTTGAAAACGAAAAGTGAAGGTACGACCGCAACAAAGACTTGGCAGCTTTTGAGAGGCCCAAAGAGACGTGCAAGCATCATCAGCGTACGGGGCAGTGCACTTAGCGAGAGTGTCCGCACGAGGCTGCGGACAAGCGTCGATATATCGGATGTTCGCGCTTGACAAGGAATCTGGTGCAATTAGTGTGTGCGGGCCGCACGCGTGTGCCCCTCTGCCAATTACCCTCGAGCAACGCATTTACCAGTGTGACCATCAAGGGCTACTCGATGAGCCAAAGGACACTCCCTTGAAACGGCCGCACGATCACTTGAAACAACATTTATTAGACTCATTACTACCCGAGAAATAGTTGCGACTTGCAGCCTGGCCATTTGCTGATAGTCGCTCTGACCGAAGTATCGTGTCGTCGGCGAGCACATTGAGTGTGCTAATGCATTATTAGCCCGCTCTCGCGACCTCGATAAAAGCCGATATGCCGTCCAAAGAGTATGTTTTTCGCGCCATCTACTCGCACATAGTGCACTCTCGAGTTTTTAAAGTGAAAGCAAGTAGAATGGGATTAAGCGCGTACAAGTGTCCGAAGTGATTAATTGGTTTGGCGCCTGGAATAACTCGCGGCAAGGTGACTTTAGCGCCCTTAGCGTGAGACTACGGATACTTCGCAAACTCTGCTGCTGCTAAAATTTGCCTGAACACAGATTTTAGATTTTTCCAGCTAAGGGTAGAACGCGACGCGCTGTAGGCCGGCGCACAGCTTCGTCAGAGATCTGGCGTGGTGCGGCGCGGGCGGCGGCGACCGAAGGGGGCGGGCGGCTCCGAAGTCGTGCCAACTGCAACTTAAACGCGGCGTAAAACGCAAGCGTAATTCCCGGGGCATTTAATTTAACTTTTGCGTTCCTAGGCTCGCGCGCGAGAGTACAAGTGGGCATTATCGTATATACGGTGGTCTCTCTTTCACTCTCTCGCGCGCGTAATCCCTCCCCTAATTAGGCTTTGTCTGGAGTGTTTTTTTCTCATTCGAAGTCGAAACCCAAAGCCCGCGCGCGCCTCTCCGAGATTCCCTTTCATACGACGCCTGTAGAAATTTCTACCCCTTTCGCTTCCTCTGTATCCCCTGCTAACATAACAGCCTTCTCTTCTCTTCTCTTCGCTCGCCTCCTCTTTCCCTCTTCGTTTCGTCTTCCCCTCCTCGATTCTTCATTCGATATAAATATTTCGAGAGCTATTTGCAATTCAGGTTACCATCTCGGAAATTTAATTAATATAATGTCTCGAGTGCACTTTTAATTGACATCTTCAACGTCGGAGTGCATTCCTTATCGATCAATTATTGAAGCACACAACGTAGGTGAATGGAATGCAAATGTTGGTTTAAAAAAAAGTAAACTCCGCAGAATGAGCTCGGTTGGTTTGTTTTACTGAATCGTTCAACGTGCGTCAAACGCGATGTCCGCGCAAGCCAAACGGTGTCAGCAAAACAAGTAAC